TTTTAAATCTCTTTGCATGCACCACCGTATTCCTGAAACTGGGGTGTTATAATATTTGTAGAGATAACAATAACTTTTTTTTGTTTCTACTAACATCTACTTTTAACAAATACCCATTTAGTTTCAAAATATAGGATGTTTTAGTTAAAAGCACATAGGTTAAGAAAAAAAATTCTTTTTAAATCTATAATTTATTATTTATTTTTGAAAAACAACCAATTAAAAAGAAGAAAATTGCAAAGTATAAATAGTTACACAATATCAATTACATTTAAAGCTAAGTAAGCTCGTGGTTTGTACAAGTCTACTACTAACTATTGAGTCCAATAGGGCTTCTGTAACAATTTCTCGTCGCATGCTTTAATTTGAAAACCCTTTATCAAAAAAGAGAACACAGATCAAATCTCTTTTGGTAAAATTTAAACAAAAAGATAGTTTTTTTTTTTTTGTATGTTCGCATTACTACATGATTTATGAAAAATTCTACGATGTAATTGAAAAAGATTCAAAATGTTAAATTTAATGGTTCAAATCTTCTACTAAGAATAAATATGTGTTAAATAAATATTACACTATTATACTTATTACTGATAGAAAATTAAAAATATACTAAAATTAGAATTATAAAACTAAGATTTATGATTTAATAGAAGCAATTTTGAACTCATATATAGTTCTATTTAAATTTTAGTCGCATTAATTAATTATATTATAACTACAAAAATTGTATTTTCTGTTTATTTATTTACCATAATTCTATCAGTACATTACAATTATTAATTGAACGTATCTAAAGAAGAAAAAAAAAATAACTGAATAAAAATAAGCAAAATATAAACAAAAATATGTAAATATTTAAAAATGACGAAAGATACAGATTTTAAATTCAAATTTAAGACATCAAAACAAAAGTTTATGAATATTAATTTCCAAGCAAATTAGAGAATGTAATATTACAAAATACTAAAAACAAAACAATTTATAATAATGGTCATAAGCTATAAATTTATGCCTTGTTCCACCGACTAGGCATGGTTCTTCTATATTATTGTCATAGTTATGCAGCTAATATTTACTAGAAGTATAGAGATTCAAAATTGCTTATTTAAAAATTTTAGCAGTTTAATTTTTTTTTGAACGAGATCTCTTTTTTCTCAGTTATAATATTCTATGCATAATGATTCTCCGGCTTAAATATAACACCTATATATCTTTTTCAACCACACATACTCAAATTTCATACGATAATAATACAAAAATATAATACATTATCTTAAATAATAAAAATCTTCACTACTGATGCAATTGTTTTCTTAACAACGGAAAACCGCTTCTTAATTATATTTTATATCAAGTCTAAATTTTTGGGGAAAAGGAAATATAGATACAACATTATTTCTATCTTTAAATAAATAAATGTTGATCTTTCTCATCTTTCTCATCTTCCTTCGAGTATTGTCTGCGTGATATTATTTGTAACAATCCGACTTGTTTTTTTTTTCGTCTAAAGGATTTCATTGATAGAATGCGATTTGAGTTATACAAAGCCGACAAGGAACGAAAGCCTTTCGGAGACAAAGCCGGCAGGTACATAGAAATCCCCAGAGACATAAGGCCAAAAGAGGCAGACAAACATATCAAGCCTTAGAAAGTAAGATACAAAGATTATAACTAAAGGAGTAACAGCTAAAGCCTCCAAAGCCACAACACTGAAATCTCTTCCCTACAAGCAGCCGACTAACACTTCTATAGAATAGTTTGGCGCCGTGGAGAGGTTACTGACAGGAGCCTCGAGAAGGAAACTAAAACGAGCTCACACAACCATCTCCACAGCAGAAACGAAGACGAGGAAGAAAGAAGATCAGAACACAGAACCTAACCACCACGACCACTGTAGAGCCAATGAAAATGAGAAGGCAGAGGATCAAGGAAAACCTTGAGATCCGAGAGGGAAAACGCCAAATAGGACCACCCATCCTTACACACGGACCTTCGTAGACCCAGCCAAATCCACCTACAGACTAAAGACTGGTTACGCCACGCAAAGAGAAGGACAAGGGATCGACCCACCACAACGTCCAGAACTCAGCCGAGAAACCAAACGAGGTTTCAACAGAGAGCTAGTAGATGCCATTATAGAAGGCTTGCATCCGATTGGAGAACCCACAAAACATAACCTTTTGCCAAATCACCACACCGAAAACCCAGAGGAGGACAGAGAGAGAGGCAGAGCAAGGAGTCAAACAAGCCTACCCAAAAGCTGAACCTGAGGCTTCAAACCACAACAAAACGAATAACACAGCAAAACACAAACCCTAGAAGTCACTCAAACTCACATACAGAGGAAGAATCCGCACACCATGAGGCCGTTGCTGCAGCACCAAGGGATTACTAGAAACCAAGTCATGGAAACGAAACGCCGGCTAAATACATGCCTCACACGAGACAGCACCACCGCAAAGCCAACAAAATCCAAGACTAGAACTCTATAGATCCACCTCATAACCAGCCGGAACAAGCAACAAAACACTTGTTTTTCTTTTATATAAACAATATTTCCATATATATTAATTATTTTTCCACATACCCATTTAATCCAACAACTCCCAAAATAACCAAATCAATCAATTAATTCCGGTTATCATAATAAACCACCAAGTTCAACCAAGACTTATTCAACAAATAAACCACAACAATTTCAAACTAAAATTAAAACTAAAAATTAATCAAAATAAAACCAGCAAATTATCAATAACAATGCAACCATCATTTCCACATTTATTCAAAAATAAACGTAAACCAACAATAACCACAAATACCGAGTCTTAGATCATCCTCCACTCCTTGCCATGATTCCACGATCACACTTTATCTTTACCTGCACCATATAGAAAAGAGATGTGTAAGTATTACACAAATACTTAGTGAGGCGATCCTCCCATCTACGAGGTATACACACAAGCAAACCAAGATCACAATCAACACATAAAACATGAAACAAACCAAACCAATGAACAATCATCTCAGCGATTCAATTCTGGATCCATCAAAAATCCAACCTACACATCACATCAAACAAGTCAAACAATCCCTATCTTTTAGATAAGCTCATGGTCACGCAGTCACTTTCAAACAAGGATGATTTTCGAACCAAAAACAATAATCCCACGACCAGCTGTAACACCCATAATTAAAAGAAATATGGAATCAGATTTTGGGTTAAACTGATCAATTTGAAACTGTCTGTTTCAGGGGGATTTCTGATCGATTCAGAAGTTTGAGGCAGAATCTGTAAATAAGAAAAGTCCAGGGACTAAAGTACAAAAACGGGAAAAAAGTGGGGGAATTCGAGTTCATCTATTCCGAAAACTGAGGGATAGTTTTTGGCAACTCGAATCTTCATCCTTTCAACCCTATTACCCCTTATTTATTTGCGTTTTGAAGCCCCGAGAATTTAGAAGCCGATTTTCCTATCAATTTGAGATTTTTGGTTGGTCAAGCTTTTCCGTATTAGTGCACTAGTTCTAGGTTATTTTCAGTCTTGGTGGGAGATTGTTGACGAATTAAGACTCGAGCTATACCTTGTCAGAAAGCTCTTGTTCATACGGATCTAACGCCACTGACATCTCATCAAACGGAAGTTGGAGTTGATCGGAATCTAATTGGTAAATATTTCGATTTTGTTAGTTCATAGTCAAATCGGGAATTCTAAACACCGGTTCTTGAACTTTTGAAACCGGTTTTCAGATGGTCTGTCAGTTTAAAATACTTACCCGAAAATTGATTTGGATTTGGTTGAGTTTTGATTTTAATCCGGTTACAATTTGCACCGGTTCAGCTTGTTTTAAACCGGTTCTGGAAAATCTAATACATTTTCATGAATTCTCTTCAAATTAGCTTTCCGATGGTATATTTTATGGGTTTTTATGATAGACGGTTGATTTTAGGTAAATTAATTGGTGGTTTGGGACGTATCTAAAATTGCCGTTAACCACCCTTTCAGTCCGAAAATCTTTCCAGGTGAGTTCTAACTCCCTTATTAGTTATTATACATTTGTATAATATTTAGGAATATGATAGAAAGAAGATATGAACTATTTGTATGTTGGAATCCTGAAAATTAATTATTTGTTCTAGTATTACTATTCTGAATATAATGTGGTGATGAAATATGTTATTCTGTTAAGACCGGTATCAGCATGCTATTCTGATTTAGCTAGCTCTATTGAGCAATCTGTGGTGGCCGGCATCGCCAACAGATGTATTCCGTATTCTGTTAGTCTGTTAGTGATATTGAGGTCGGTGAATGTCGTGGACTGTACTTCCTTATCACCTCGTTAGGGGCCAGCATCCCTATCGAGTATATTATGTAAATATTCTGTTAGTATATGGTTTGGGTCGACCAATGCTGGAGTTGTACCATTCCGATGTGGCATTGCTGAATACTTGGTCGTTCTGTTCTGATGTTATTATTCTGTTTGATGAAATTATTCTGTTATGATGATTTGATTAAGTATTTCTGATAGTATATGTTCTGTTGTGATTTATTTTATAATTATTTAGATTGGAATTTATGTCTGTTGGTACCAACACGTGAACATTTTTTTTGTGCGGGATCAGACCGTGTTGGTACTTGTTCGTCGGGTTTGTAGTCTCACTGGGCGATTTTTCGCTCACATAAGTTCTGATTCCGTGCAGAGGGCATTGAGGAGGAGGAGCGTGTAGCTGATGCTTAGAGTCTTTGTTTCGGTTGTAGCGTGAGACTTGGTAGTTCTTTCAGTATTTTAAATCACTTTTATTTCTCAGTTTTGGATTTTACGAAATTTCAGACTTTATGTATTTTGTGACTATTAGAAGTTTTTTATATTATTTTATTAAATTTCAGAATTTATTTAAGAATTTTCAGGTCATTACAGTTTGGTATCAGAGCATGGTTTTACGAAACCATGGGATTTTCAAATGTTTTCCGCTGTTTAATTTGAAAGATCTTACTTTGTCTCGCAATAGGATTTTGGATGTGACTCTTTGCAATAAGTTTGTGTGATAGAATTTGCCTAAATTTAAGGTGTTAACCTCTCGATTATTTGCGTCTGGATGGCTAAACGTGGACGTGCGAGAGGTGTTCCTCATGAGGCAAGACCTGTTGCTCCGGGTGGTCGAGGTGTCCATGTTGTTCCAGGAACTCCTCCACATGTTCCTAATGGTCCTCAATTTCCACCACCTCCTCCACCGAATGTTGTTCCGATGGAGGATATGCGACAAATGCTTCAGTCTATGAGTCAGATGTTTGCTCAAAATGCGGCCATCCAACAGACTTTGTTGCAGCAGCTACCTCAGGCAGCTGTTCCACAGCCGGCTCAGCAGGCAAATCCTCAGCCTGACTATTGGGTGTTGCAGGATTGGTTCAAGAAAGAAGTCGGCTTGCAGAAGTTTGAAGGTTCCTCTGACCCTATGGAAGCAGAGAAATGGCTTGATCTTGTTAAGGAGGCGCTGGGATATTTGGGAGTTCCAGAGGTTTTTAAGTTACGAATGGTTACTCACCAACTTGCTGGAGATGCTCAACATTGGTGGAGAAGCATTGTTACTTCCCGTCCTGATATGGAGCTGACTTGGGATGATTTTCAGAGGGCATTTGTGGAGTTGTACTTTCCAGAGTCTGTCAGATCAAACTTACGGATGAGGTTTGAAGAGCTGAAGCAGAAAGATAAGACCATGAGAGAATATCAAGCTGAGTTTGATCGTTTATCTCGTTATGGCTCTCATATCATCCCCGATGATCGCTCAAGAGCTAGACGATTTGAGCATGGGCTTCGAGATTCCATCAGAGTTGTGGTGGAACCACAGAGATTACCTACATATGCTGGAGTTTTAGAGTATACTCTCATTGTGGAGGGAAACGAGAAAAAGACACAAACATATGTTGGGAGTGGTGATAACATCGTATTTTTGCCCACTTTTACTATGTTTTTGTTATGTTTACAATGGAGAAATCAAGAGATATTGGAGAATTCAAGGCCATTTTCATATATGTGTGCTTCAAGAAGGATATATGAGTTTTTGGGTACAAAGGATCAACAAAGGAGCAAAACCCGTTTCTGGACAGATTCGGAGCATCCGATGTATGGCGTCAGTTGAGGGACTTTCACTTCACATAGGTTGACGATCTTGGTGTCGTTGGAAAGATAAAAGAGTCATATTTTACCTCCAAGTAGAATGAGACTAAACCATTCAGCCAGTAGAGAGTTATCGCCGATACACTGAAGACATGTCCTTCAGGCTCGAAGATGACGCAAGAGGAGAATGAAGATATGAGCAAAGGGGCAAGCCCCACCGGTCACAAGGCTCGTGACCGGTGTCAAGACACTCCTGGGACCGGTCATAAGGTGTCGTGACCGGTCCAAATGATCCTCTTACCCGGTTTTACCAAACGACGTAGTTTCACTTATTTCGACTTCGGAAAAACCCTAAACCGACCTTGAGGAGCCCTAGAAGACTTGGAGACCTATAAATACACCGTGAGGAGCCCTAGTAGACACAAGTCGGCCTCTGGCCGCACCTCTCTCCATAGAACTCGGCCTCTTGGCCGCAAGTTCTCTCCTTCATTTTCACCATAGATCTAAACACTTTTCTTTCATAGTTTCTTCGTTGTTCTTCGTTCTATTGCTTCAAGGGAGATGGATCCTTCTCTTTGTATCTCATAGATAAGTTTTCTGAACCCTTTTACTTCTATATTTAAGTTTATGATTTTGTTTTCTCTTTGCTTTCATCTCTTCTTATGGATCTAGGGTTTTGTTGATAGGATTATCGTATTGATTCGTTTAGTTGCTGGATATAGGGTTACTTTCTCCTAATAATTCTTTTGGGACATCTTTTACTTAATGCACCGTAGTTAGGTTCGCTACCTAGCTATTGATCTAAGAGGTTAGGAGCTCTAATCGGGTAAACCTAACCTCGGACATAGTGTTACCAATCCTTCGTGTTATTGCCCGCGTAAGTTGAGTAATAGGACTTAGAGTACTTAGCAAATCCAATCTTAATGCGTCAAACTATGCGTCGTTGCCTACGCAAGTTGAGTAACGGAGTATAGGGAGATTTGCCGGCTTATTCTATGACCTAGGATAACTCGTTTATTCGCCTTTCGTAGTTATGAATTCGATTGTAACATATCTAAGATCCTTAATATGCTTGAATGAAACGAACCTTAAACCCTATTCCAACCCCTTGATCTCTAATGTTTGCTTTCTTTGCTTTTTAGTTTCAAAACCTTTTCCAAAACCAACCAAATATCTTTTCGTCTTAGCCATGTTCTTTCTCTTAGTAGATTTGTGCCGCAACCTCAATCTCTGTGGGATTCGATCTTTAAATACTACATATGAATCACTGTGCACTTGCAGTAGTCGTGTGGTCTTTTAAGGTAAAAGATTGAAGCGAAATATCACACGCATCAAGCTTTTTGGTGCCGTTGCCGGGGATTGATGTGTTTGCCCACAAGTCTACGAGTAGAATATCCGCTAAGACATTTTGTTTTCTAATTTTTAGTTTTGAGTTTTTATATGTTTCAGGGATTTCAAAGATGAAGAATTCTCGATATCAATGGAGTTTCTACAAAAAAAAATAGAAAAATTAAAAAAGAAAAAAAAAGAACAAAAAAAAGAGAGAGAAAAACCAAAAAAAAAAAGAGAGAGACAGTCCGACGAGTCTCGGTGAAGCAGTCAGACGAAGGTTCAAACTGGCCCTGAAAAATCTGAAATATTGTGGAGAGATGCTCAACAGAGTTATCTAACCACAGGAGAAAACGGTTTGTCATTTCTTTCATAGTTTAAAAGTTATGCCTGTTTTCCCTAGTCGTATCCGTGCAGATTCAATCTGCATAGTGACCAACTTCGGAAGCGATTTTCCGTCGAACCACAAAGAGCCAGAAGACGTTCTTTATATCTTCAGGAAGAGCACATCTTCTAGTTTCCAGAACAGTTTTTGGATCTCAAATCCAAGGTCTGTAGCAGGAGGTATGGAGAGAAGAAGAAACCGATTTTGTGGGAAGTCATTGCGTATGACAAAATCCCGTGAAATCAAATCGAGACAAACTCGAAAATTTTCTTTTTTCTCTTCCAGGTAAGTTTTCAACTCCTCATACCAGGTAAGTTTTCTTTTATCCCTTTCCTTTTCATATTTGAATTTTTCTTAAGATCATTGTAAATTGTTTCATATCATTCATCCAAAAGCAAGGTATGCCATTCATCTTTATTTTCTTTTTACTATTGAAGAGAACTCTTATTCCTTTTGATTCATGAGCATTAGGTTGCTAAGAACTGAGAGAGAGCATGTAGTTATACTTCTAGGTTGCATAGATCATACATCAAATAAGTTGAATATCGATAAAATTTGGATTTTGACATTGTTGAAGTTTTGTGTTCTTTAAAAACATAGAGCTCATGATACAAGTTGTTAAAAACATATTCTTTAGATTAATTCACAGTAGGATTTAGATAGATTTTTCAGTTATCATGTATATATCATCATAAAACAAAAACATGTAGTTAGTTTCATATTGCATCCATGCCTTGCCACTGTTCTACACTTGTCTAGTGATTCATAATTTCATATGTCTTTGGTCAACAAGATTCAAGACTAGTTTATGTTTTCTCCTGCGATGACCTAATTCTTTCTTTGAGTTCTTTCTATTTTGATAGGTACCTATCGCCACTCAAGATGATACGAAGAATGCTAGTCGACGAGCAATCTTTGAGGATTGATGAGGTAAAGAGAGAAGATGAGAAGGATAGTTACAGGGATGCTTCAAAGAGAGAAGCGGAGAAACAAGAAAAAGACAAGTGGGTAGAAGAGAAGAGAGGATATAAACTTCAAGAGTTCATGGGAGACTCATATGAGCCAAAAGTAGAAGTAAGAAGAATGTCAAGAGGAAGTGAAGAAGGGAAGGACAATGGAATCACCACGAGTAAAGGCATGTGACCCATGACCGTGAGAAACTTGCCTTTAAACCGGTCACAAACCTCGTGACCGGTGCGACCATAGAAGAAGAAACCGGTCATCACCCTCGTGACCATTGCGCCTAACCACTTCACCACCGACCATACATTCCACCACCGCAGCCAAGCTTGATTGAGTCTCATCCTCGTGAGAACTTCCCACCCTTAACCAAACCATCCAGAGAGCTGTCCTCACCAAGATGGCAAAACTCTCAAACCATCTTCGGAAAATTAACTTTTTCCGAATGATGTCCAAGGTAAACTTCTATTTAACCATAGGGGTCTTGATCATTCAATGCACCATCTTGACATATTCCTTAAGTCGAGGTAAGTACTCTCTCATTCCTTCCACTTTATACTTGGGTTATGTTTACTTAGATCGATTTGGTTATGAAAAACCGAATCTGATTTTTATAAACATGGATCTAATAATGGATAGATTTATTTCTTGAAATATTTAGATCCAAGAACACAAGTTTGCAGATTTGTGAATCTTAACAAGTATTTTCAAGTGTTTTGCAAGGAAATTTTAAACTTGACAGGAATAGGTTGAAGACCGTTTAATGCTTGAACTGAGTTTTGTGACTTGATCACTCGTATCAGTTTCAAGCAAAGTGTTACAACACTATGGTCATGGTTATTAGGAGTGCAACCAACGTCGAGCCAACGACGTTAAACAAGTGCGCTGAGTGGGAGGCAACCCACTAGGTAAATACTTTTCCTTAGGATTTAATTGCTTTTATTATTGATAGTTTTAGTTTTTGTTTCAGGAATTTCATAAAAACAGAAAACAAAATAGAAAAGAAGAAAACAGAAAAGCCAAAAAAAGAAGGAGGAAGAAGGTCCCTGGACCGGTCACACCCACCCGTGACCGGTGCCCACAGTAGCCTCCAGACCGGTCATACTTACCCGTGACCGGTGCCGTTCTGAGCTCTGTTCGATTTTGTTCCGCGACCCTACAAAGGAAGGTGGCAAGATATATCACAAGTCCGGGCATCCTCCAAGATGTGCGAAGCATACCGAAGGCGATGGATTGATCGAGCTGCCAACGATCAATGCCAAGAGTCCCCACCATGACAAAAATAAGATTGCATCAACATCGACCGTCCGTCCGTGCACGATCCATTCTGTACCGTGCATCAACCCGCGTACGTACCGCAGCCCGTCCCGCGACCGTACCGTAGAGCAACATTCACGTCCGTTCTTCAATTTTGTCCGATGAAATGATCTAGGATTGAATATCTACCGATAATATGGGTATTTCATGAGTAATCATCGAGACAGAATCCTGAAACAACGAGCGTTTCGCGAGACGACACCAATCCGCCGTACCGCGACCGTACCGCAAAGCACCTCCACGTCCGTTTTGAAGTTTCGCTCGTGCCAATGAGCTGAGATTTGGAATTCCTTGTCAACATGGGGATTTGATGAGGAATGATCGAGACAGAATCTTCAAAAGAGGCGCCATTCGCGATACGACACATTCAAGCCCAACCGAGCCGTACCGTACGATGAAAGTCGACATCGTCAGAATCTGCTGGGATTCAAAACTTGTCAATCTTATGACCATTCCAGGACATATGATCGAGAGAAAATGGCTTGGCATCAGACTAGATTGTGAGATATGACGAGAAGCCGTCAAAAGAAGCCTTCACCGTACCACCAAGCTAATCTCCGAGAATTGTCTTGAGATCTGAAATTCATCCGGAACCTTAACATTCTGGAGAGAATGAACGAGAAAAACAGGTCCTGGAACGGGTTAGTTTGGGAGATATCGACGAAAGGTACGGGATTACGTTGATAACTTTACGATATGCTGTTGCACTCGATGAAATTGCTTGGGGTTCAAAATCCATAAGCAATATGCCTATTATAGAGGCATTCATCGAGAGAAACACGGATGTCATCGGCTTAGTTTCGGAGATCCACGATACAACCCTCCGCGGAGCCATCCTCAAAGCATTCCATCGTTTCAAAGTCCGTAATTCGACATGAGATACAAAAGTCATCGGCAACGTGCATATTTTAAGAGGAATCATCGAGAAAAATTGGCCCAACATTGGGCTAGATTTGGAGAAACAGGAGAGAGCCGAAGATTGCACGTATGGGACCGTACGGATCACCGACTTGCCGCACGACCCGTGACCGGTCCCGCCCCAAGCAACCAGCCAGGCCACACTATCACGTGACCGGTGCGGGCCAAGCGTCAAGGATCAGTCACACAAAGTTTCACCGACGATCCTTTCCACCCCATTCTACATGTCCGATCCGACACCGCAATCGCCAAGCCGACCGTCCTCTCCGACCGTCACCGCGATTTTGATCTTAATCGTGGACAATTCGAATAACTTAGCCGAGTTAAATCGATGACAAGCACAAAAAAGATCATATGGTTAGTCACCATCCACACCCACCGACCACCACCCCTACGTTGTTCAAGGTGACATTGTTCTCAACCTATCTTTCTTACGGATTCATCTCTTTATTTATTTTCCCACCGAGGACGGTGTGATTTAAGTCTGGGGGGGTTAATGAATCCGTCGTTACTTATGCTACTCTTTATTTTGTTGACTTGAGACCTTTTTCCAATTTTTACATCAATAGGCTTTAGCAAAGCAAAAAGCTTTTATTTTATCGAGTCGTTTTATTGAGTCAAAACAGTTGGGAACTATGACCTTGTTATATGATGATATTTGACCATTTTGTGTTGATAATTTTTCTTAAGGAACACTTACAGGTTTACAAGAACGAACAAATTTGAACACTACATCCGAACCGTCCCCCTGAAGTTTCAACCCGTGGAAATTGTTGTTGGATCGAAAGTCAACTCTAACCTATATTGGATGATTAACTTGATCTTAATTCTTTCTCATGAAGAGGTTTCAGATCAGGGAAACGAGCATATACATTCAGGACTTCTTATCCCTTTTTACCACTCTCTGCTGATCATGAATGGCCACTCATTTTTAGTGGTTCCCTACCCTTAAACCCTATCCTTTTTTCAGACCTAACACATTCTCTTTTCCTTTTCTCACTTTAGCAGCTATGGGCAAAAACGTCGGAGAGAAAGGAACGACACAGTTTCCCGCCACGAAGACGGAGACTTGGAACTTACCAAGAGGATGACGTTTTGGTCTCGAGCTAATGCTTCCTTGGGATTCGATTTTCAAAGGTACATATTTCATGCTTATGGGACTTTTATTCTTAAAAGTATTGTTTCCCCTTTCACAAAAAAAAAAAGAAAGAAAAAAAAAATAAAAAAAAAAAAGAGAGAAAGAAAAGAAAGGAAAGGAAACATTACCGAAAGAAGTCTCATAGCATAGAGAAGTCCCAAGGAAAGCATAGTTCATGAAGAGGAGATGGAGACATTCACAGAGATCCCCGCAGAAAAATCTAAGTCTGGGGGAATCTAAAAGAAAAGAAGTAAAGGAGAAAGATGGTGTTACAAGAAGAAGTGGTTGGAAACTGTTGACATCAAACCGATCTGTTCTCTCTTGCTGTTTTGCGACATATCCTGCGTTCTCGAGATTTACGGTAACCCTAAACACTTTAACTCCACCACCAAACACCAAAAAGCTCCTTTCATGCCAAGCGCCGTATACCCTGAATGATCCCTCCTAATGAGAAAGCTCACGCCAAAAACTTAATGAATTTAAAGAGTTGATTGACGTGAATTCAGAGTTTCTGTAGGTTCGAAGCGGATGGACAAGGATGAGAAAGGTGTAGGACGATTATGCGGATGTTCTAACGTGAATTTTGTTTTCAAGTGGTCTGTAGATTATTCAAGATACGGTCACTGATAACAGGAGAATTCCCGCGATTTTCAAACCTCTCCACCGGATTTATTCTTTTGTTTGCTTGAGGACAAGCAAAGTCTAAGTCTGGGGGAGTTGATAACATCGTATTTTCGCCCACTTTTACTATGTTTTTGTTAGGTTTACAATGGAGAAATCAAGAGATATTGGAGAATTCAAGGCCATTTTCATATATGTGTGCTTCAATAAGGATATATGAGTTTTTGGGTAAATAGGATCAACAAAGGAGCAAAACCCGTTTCTGGACAGATTCGGAGCATCAGATGTATGGCGTCAGTTGAGGGACTTTCACTTCACCAAGGTTGATGATTTTAGTGTCGTTGGAAAGATAAAAGAGTCACCTTTCACCTCCAAGTAGAATGAGACTAAACCATTGAGCCAGTAGAGAGTTATCGCCAATACACTGAAGACATGTCCTGCAGGCTCGAAGATGAAGCAAGAGGAGAATGAAGATATGAGCAAAGGGGCAAGCCCCACCGGTCACAAGGCTCGTGACCGGTGTCAAGACACTCCTGGGACCGGTCATAAGGTGTCGTGACCGGTCCAAATGATCCTCTTACCCGGTTTTACCAAAACGACGTAGTTTCACTTATTTCGACTTCTGAAAAACCCTAAACCGACCTTGAGGAGCCCTAGAAGACTTGGAGACCTATAAATACACCTTGAGGAGCCCTAGAAGACACAAGTCGGCCTCTGGCCGCATCTCTCTCCATAGAACTCGGCCTCTTGGCTGCAAGTTCTCTCTTTCATTTTCACCATAGATCTAAACACTTTTTTTTCATAGTTTCTTCATTGTTCTTCGTTCTATTGCTTCAAGGGAGATGGATCCTTCTCTTTGTATCTCATAGATAAGTTTTCTGAACCCTTTTACTTCTATATTTAAGTTTATGATTTTGTTTTCTTTTTGCTTTCATCTCTTCTTATGGATCTAGGGTTTTGTTGATAGGATTATCGTATTGATTCGTTTAGTTGCTGGATCTAGGGTTACTTTCTCCTAATAATTCTTTTGGGACATCTTTTACTTAATGCACCGTAGTTAGGTTCGCTACCTAGCTATTGATCTAAGAGGTTAGGAGCTCTAATCGGGTAAACCTAACCTCGGACATAGTGTTACCAATCCTTCGTGTTATTGCCCGCGTAAGTTGAGTAATAGGACTTAGAGTACTTAGCGAATCCAATCTTAATGCGTCAAA